TCCTATTTTTCCTGCTGCTGCTGCAGGCGGACCGCAGACAGCACCAGCTGCTGGAGCTAGAGGGGCAATGCGCCCAGCAGCAGCTGCGAGTAGAGCAGCTGACGCGCCAAGTAGAGGAGCTCACGACTCTCTGTGTAACAAACCCTAAAGATTTAGTCTTAAACCCTAAACCCTTTGTTGCATTCTAACAATCTGGATGTTCTTTGAGTCCCCAGTTTACACGAATTTGAATGTTTAGGATCAGGAGTTTCGAGCAGTAGTATCTCTGATGTTGGGTGTGTTTCTTTCACCAAGCTTTCCCATAGCAGCAGCTGCTGCTGCTTGTGCTCCATTTGCTGCTACTGCTGCTCTCGCTGCTGCTGCTCCAGAGGCACCTGGAGATTGACAGAGGCGCTGCGCATCGAACTGCCCAGGAGGCTCAGACCCTTGCAGCAGAGGCCACCTCTCGCCTCGAGGCGGTGAGCTCCTTGTTGTTTACTTTGATTCCTGAGCTTTAACCTATTGCAAGTATTGGCCTAGCAGTCCTAGGATTTTATTGTGAGTCCTTAACTTTAAGATATTGCAGATATGTGCCTGGCATTCCCATTTGTATACCGTGAGTCCTTAGCGTTAAGATATTGCATATATGTGTCTAGCAGTTCTAGTTGTTCACTTTGAGCCCGCAGCTTTAAGATATTGCAGAGATTTGTCTAGCAGCCCTTTTATTTTTAATATATTGCAGATATTTGCCTTGCAACTATCCCTGAGTCACACACTCGGTATTGAAACCACTGGCTCTGCTTCCATCTTTCCCTGCACGTTTGAGTGTCTTGATCTTAAAATCGTTTTCATTTTGGTGCTTAAAACATGAAATTGTTTCACGTTTAGTGCCTAAGGCTTGAAACTGTTTTGTTTTAGTGCCTAAAGCTTGAAGTGTTGTTGAGAAATCGTGGTTTAGGGCTCAGGGTGTTGTTTCTTTAGGTGGAAGCTTCTCGTGATGGAGTTAACGCCGAGCTGGACCGCCTGCGGGCAAACGAGTCAATTTGTGTCAAGCAGCTGGAGGCCCTGGAGAAGCAGCAGCAGCAGACAGAAAGAGACTTAGCAGTGGCAGAGGCTGAGAGACAGAGGCAGGCGCAGTACATCATCAAGCTTGATGCAGAGACAGACAGGATAAAGGAAAAGCTAGACACCACAGCTAGCCAGCTAGCCACGGCAGAGACACAGCTAGCTGCGGCTGTGCGGAGAGAGGAGGAGACGCGCAGAGAAGCAGAACGCGCCAAAAATAGGGCTGAAGCAGCAGCAGCAGCAGCAGAGACTAGGCACCAGCAGACGTGTGCGCAGCTGCAGCAGAAGCTAGAGGCCCTCCAGCAGGAAACAGCAGCTGCAGCAGCAACACTCATAAGGAAAGAGACGCAAATCGACGAGCTGCTGCTGCAAGTCAGCGGCCTGCAGGGGCAGGTGCAACAGCAGACAGCGCAGCGGGAGGCCCTGGAGGAAGCAGCAGCGAAGGACAAAGAGCTGCGGCAGCAGCAGCAGGAGCGGCTATTGCAACTGAAGCGCACTGAAGATGCACTTCGCGCTGCCAATGCAGAGGCTGAAGCCCAACTAGTTGCTGAAAAACACGCCAGAAAAAGAGATTACGATTTGCTGCAACAAACCCTTACTGAAAAGGGAGAGGCGATACAGCAACGCGATTTGCTGCAGCGCGAAGCAGCAACAGCAAAGGCTGAGCTTCAGCAGCTGCAACAGCACGCGCAGGTACTGCAGCAGCGCATAACAGATGGAGAGACACGTGAACAGAAACTGAGAGAGGAAGCACGGCAACAACAGCAAGAGCAACTAGAAAGGGAGAGCCAAAACTTGAAACAGCACTTAGATGACCGCAGCAAGGTCGAAGACACATTGAGATCGGCACAGGAAAAGCTTAAAAACGCCACTCACGAGCTGCTCCAGCAGCAGCAGCACGCGCGTCAGCTGCAGCAGCTGCTGGAACAGGAGCAGGAGCAACATCGGCAAGCACAGGCCAAAGCAGCCCAGCTGCAGCAGCAACTGCAGCAGCAAGAGCTGCAGAAACAGCAAGAGCTGCGCGAACAAGAACTTCAAAAGCAGCAGGAGCTGCAGCAACAGCAACGCGAGGCAATGCAACAACAGCAACAGCTGCAGCAGCAGCTGCACAAACAGCAGCTGGAGGCACAGCAACAAATTGGCAAGGTAGAGCAACAGCTGGCCAGTGAAAAGCAGAAGACCAAAACTGCCGAGGCAGCCTTGACAGCGCTGCAGCACGAAAAGGCAGCAGAGAGCAGCGCAGCAGCAGCAGCAGCAGAGGAAGCGCAGCAGCAGCAGAAAGCAGCAGCAGAGGAAGCCAAAGCCATGGGAACAGAAGTACAGCAGCTCAAGAATACGGTTTCTTCTTTGAAAAAACGCCTCACACAATTACAGGGAGAGAGAGATGCTGCCGACAAGAAGCTGAAGGAAGCGGAGGAGCAGCAGGAGGAACTGCAGCACCAGAAACAGCAGCTCCAGCAAGAGCTTCAGCAGCAGCAGCAGCAGGCTGCAAACGTGAAGGAGGAACTAAAGAAGCATAAAGATGCTGCAAATAAGGACGCGGAAAAGCGTGAGAAGGAGCGCAAGGAGTTGCAACAGCAGGTGCAGCAGCTGCAGCAGCAACAGCAGCAGCTGCAAGAGCAAGCCTCACAAGCAGCTACCAAGGCATCATCATCCAATGAAATTTTGAAGACCGAAGCTGCCGCTAAGGCAGAGCTGCAGCAGCAGCTGAAGCAGCAGACAGCAGAGAAGGAGAACCTGCAAAAAAAGCTAGCTGAGATGCAGCAGCAGCTCAAGCAACAGCAGCAGCAACTGCAGGAGGCCAAGGAAGCTGCTGCCACAGCCGCAGCAAGCGCAGCAGCAGCAGCAGCAGCAACAGCAGCTGCAGGGAAGCAGCAACAGCAGCAAAAGAAAGAGGGGGAGTCCTCAGACAACCAGCAGGATGCGGAGGAAGCAGCAGCAGTAGCAGCAGCAATGGCAGCAGAGGACATAAAGGGTCTTAGCCAAATAATAGAAAAAAAGAATGAAAGATTCAGACAAGCAAGGGATAGGCATATGGAGGTGGTCGAGAGATACAACAAACTTGTGCAGAAATACAATACTCTTCTAGATGATCTTGAAAAGTTCATCAGAGACCCTAATGTCAGGTAACAGCAAGCAGGCGCTGCTTCTAGTGCTACCACTGTTCTTGCTCCTGTTGCTGCTGCTGCTGCTGCTCCTGCGGTTTTTTCGCGCCTGAGTGTCTGTCTCTATTTTGCTGTTGGTGGCCTTCTATTTTTTCTCGACTCCTTGCATTCTTGGTTCCTTTTTATTCATTTTTTAATCAGCCCTTTCTTTCTCGCTTGTCTCTGTACATGTACATTTTCTACATATGTATGGCACGTATGTGCATGCAGCGTCCGCACATATGTGCATGCGATTGTGGCATTCACAGAATATAAATAAAGTAAAATACATATTCGGCCATACTGTACGCACATGCGCGCCTGCTTTGTATTATGTAGATGTGGCGTGCTTACAGATGGACATATTTATTGCATTTGCCTGTCACATTTGCACAAAAAAGATGCATGCGCAGGATATGTGTGCAACACGTCTATGCAGACTTTGTGTGTGCATTATATTCTCATAATAAGTGTAATATTATGTGAGCTCATATTTGCGTATGTGCACCTGCGAGTGCATTTGCGCATGCATGCATGTTGCATGCACGCTTGACTTCTTTCTCTCGAGTTTCTCAGTTCCCTCAGTTCTGTGTCTATTTCTGTTCAGGTCTCCCACCATAGATCGCGTGTGGACTTCAATATACAAAACAAACAAGTCAGAAGGATGGAACACTAGTTTGCTGCAGGCGGCCTCAGGCACCTTTTCCTGGAGTGTCAAGGGATCTTCTCAAGAAAAGACTCCCAAGGAAAGTTCCAAGAAAGATTCCCAAGGGGATTCAAAGGAAAGCCCCCAAGAAACCCCTAAGGGGGACAACAAAGACAAGAAAAAAGAAAGGGCTTCGAAGGAAGACTCCACGGGGGCCCTCAAAAGAGCCCTTTCGAAGAGTTCGCGCCCGCCGCCGCGTCGCAGCGGAGCCTTTCCTTCTTCCGAAGACGACAAGAGCAAAATGTCTGAAGCAGCAGCAGCAGCAAAAGCAGCAGCAGCAGATGCATCGAAGGAGCCAGACACTCCCCGCAGCGGGGCTTCAACTCCCCCAGAAGAACAAACCGGAGGAGGCGGCTGGTTCTCAGGGTGGTTCTAGCCCGAGAGGAAAGCTTGAGACATATTATGGAGAGCTTTGCATATCTAGAGGCCCCGGGGCCTTGAGGGGCCCCGGGGTGCTCAGAAGACTCTTGGAGGCCCGGGAAACAATTCGGGCTGATAGAATAGTCTCTTTTGTTCCTTTTGTGAGCAGCGAGACCCCCTTGTTGCAGCTAGCGGGGTAAACACAAAAATCGTGTTTTGGGAATCCGCAGCCCCCCTTTAACGCAGTTTCTTCTGCTCAGGGCCCGTACAGTAATGGAGGCTCCCAAATTAGGAGCCTTCTAAAGTCATTCACGGGGCCTCTTTTCTGATTTGCTGTTCTCGCAGTGCATGCAGGTTACTCTAGCGACCTACACAACCCTAAATGTGTACTCTGCTCATAAATTACATCGCTGTCCGACAAACATTTCGATTTCGGAGAAATCATTTTGGCAAAATGCATAAAAAATGGTCTTTAGTGCCCTCTTGAGTGCCCTCTTGAGCCTTTGAGGCCTCTCTAGGGTTTTCTGAAGGGCCATTTAGGGACCCTCTTAGAAGTTGCTGCGCCTTTGTGCTTTTAATGCCAAGAGTTCAGAACTTAGTGCCACCTGCGGTTCTATGGAGATTCATAATTCAAGTTTGCTGCTGCTGCAGCCCTGCCTTGCCTGCCTGCTGCGGCAGTCTTTGGTGCCTCAGTGGCAAAAGTCCTCAAAAAAGAGGAAACAACTAGGTCCGCAGCAGCAGCAGCTTTAAGAAGCTAAAAGGTGCTGCAGTAAGGGTAGAAAAAAGCCGGAGGGGGGTGGGGGTTTCTTTAAAGGGCCCCCCAAGACAACAGCTTTCAAACGTTGCCTTGCCTGGGGACCTGGGGAGCCCCCTCTACACTTTTGCGACCTCAAGCAAAGCGAAATTTCCGAGGGTCCCGAGGCTGGTGACTGCTTCTGCTGCTTCTGCGCTTGCTGCTGTTTGTGGCGACGCTGCTGCTGTTGCTGCTGCTGCTGCTGGTGATGGTCTTCGGCAGGCAGGGGCAAGAGATTCCAGGAAACCAGGCGTTTGGGGCCCCCAGGAGTTACGACTAATCTTCTGGGGAGCCACAGTGGCGCTGCTGCTTCTTCTGTCCCTGTTACTGTTTGCAGCTGGCAGTGGCGTGTGTCCCCGTCTCCAGGGCTGCTGCTGCTGCTGCTGCCTGCTGGGAACCACCAGCAGCAACTATAGGGCTCACTTCGATTTTCGTCTTCGTCCCTGCTGTTATTATTACTGCTGCTCCTGCTCCCTTCGGCGTGCCTTGTGCCTTCGGTATCTGCTGCTCGCACTGCAACAGCTGCTGCTGGTGCTGCGGGAGGCGGGGGTGACGCAGCAGCAAAAGTGAACTCGCTCTCTGCAGGAGATACTTCTCTTGCTGCAGCAGCACGAGGACTTTCCCTCGAGAGCCTCCGTAGGCCGCCTGTAGAGTTAATAGGAGCTCCATATCGTGTAAATTCTGTGTCTTGTTCGGTTTCATGTGGCCCACCTTGCAGAGGAATCTTCCCTACAGGTGCTCCAGTTGCTTCTGTTCTCTCCATTGCTGCTTGCGCAACACAGAAAAACGCCCTATGGAGTAATTGCGCGCAGCAGCAGCGGCAGCAGCAACGAGCAGCAATGTAAGCAGCAGCGGAAAACAGAAACGCGAGCTGCAACACCAGCAGCAGCAAATACGATAGCAAACCGAGCAGCAGCAGCAGCAGCAGCAGCACTACGGGAGCACCAAGCGGTAGCAGAATTTTTCGCAGCTGTTACTGCTGTTACTGCTTCAACCCTCACTACTGTTCATGACCGTAAAAGGGAAATTTAATGAAAGAAATTACAGAAGCAAATGAGGGTCAGGTCAAAACAGGGAAAAACTAGAACTCCTGGCTTTTGTCCTCGTCAAAATGCCAAAAGAAACAGGGGCTCTGTCCTTCGTAAGGAGAGGATTGAAAGCGAGAGATAGAAAGGGCATGCTACAGCAGCAGTGGCAGCAGCAGCAGCAGCAGCAATGAAGGCAGTAAGACTAAAAGAGACCAACGAAAAAGGTCAAGGCGAAGTAAAGGGGGGGAAAGAAGAAGGAAAAATCCCAAATAAACAAAGAAAGCGGGAGCGATAAACCGAGAAAAAGACAGAAGACAGAAGAATTTGGGAAAAGCAAAGGGATCACAGAAAGAAACAAACGAACACAGGAGCGAAAACCGAATGAAACACCACAAAATGAATTTAACGGGGATGCACGAAAGAGAACATAATCGCTGCACTTAGAAACAAAGGCACATAAGAAGAAAACAATAAAAGAGGTAAAAATAATTATCTAATTGACAAAAAAGCGGAGGCTAAGCTGTATTTGCTTCTAAACTTGTGCCCCCTTACAATTTGCCAAAATCTCTTCTTCCGCACTTAAGGGAGATGAAGCATAAAGAGGACAAGCCAAATAGCTCAAGGACAACAGCTCTGCTGCTGCGGCTGCTTCTTCTGCTTCTGCTGCTGCTGCTGCTGCTGTTGCAGCTGCTACATCGGCAGTGGCTCCTACAGCAGCAGCGCCTGCTGCATGCGCCGTGAGTAGAACAGCTGCAGCTCCTTGCTTGGCAGCAGCAGCGGCTTCCGCCGCTGTTGCTGCAGGTAAAGCTGCTGGCGAATCTCCTGTGCTGCAGCTGCCAACTGAAGTGCTGCCCCATCCTATTTTGCTCATTTCAGTAGGCTGCTGCTGCGGCGACTCACAGGCTGGGGAAAACCCCATCTGCTTCTGTTGCTGCTGCTGTTCTCCCTGCTGCTGCGGAATACCAGAAGCTGCCGCAGCAGCACTTGCAGCGTGGGCAGCATTAGCCGTTCCTGCTGCTGCTAGCCACCTCTCCTCTGAGCTCACGACTGAGCTGGCATCTCTGTACAGCAGCAGTAACAGCAGCAGCAGCAGCAGCAGCAAATAATGTTAAACCCCTGATGTCTTTACAAATGAAAGCAACAGCAGCAGAAGCAGCAGCAAAGTTGATTTGTAATCCACTTGTGAGTGCTTCGTCATTTCAAGAAGCCTAAGTAAGGCCTGACTCCGTGGAGTGTTGTGATACTAAGTGTTGTGATATTAATTCTCTTTTGCGTGTTTCTTCCCCTTTTTTCTTTTAAAGTTTCATTTTGAATTGTGTGTGTCTTGTGTCACTTTTTCTCTTTTTTTGTTTTTTCAGAAATTCGTTCATCTCTGGATGCCGGTCCCTCTGATGTGTGCGTGTGCTGCTGCTGCGTTTGTGTTTCTTTCACTTTTAAAGAATTGTTTGCTTTTGTTTTTCTTTTTTCTACAACTGTCTGTACACCTCAACTAGCTGTGCCCTACTTCTCTGCTTTTGCTGCTGCAAACCCAGGGGCCTCTTTGCGGGGTTTTAAAACCTACAGAGAGGCAGCCAGTGACTGAAGGGTTTATAAAAGTACCATTCGAAGGCCTTAAAAGAATTTAATTGAGTCTAATTTAAAGTAATTGTGAAGCACCTGCTTTCGGGAGAAGTTGGCTGTACAAAGCTAGCTGCCTGTCCCCGGCTAGCTTCTGTGTCTGCTGCTTCCTGTAGTCTGGTCGGCGCTGCTGCAGCTTCGGTAGTTGCTGCTGCTGCTGCTGCTGTTTCTGGTTCTGGTTTGGTGCTGCTGTTGTGGGGCTGCAAAGCAGCAGCGGTGGCCCAGAGGCGTTCCCTTTGGAGCCGCTGAGCCCTAGCCGCAGCAGCAGCAGCAGCATCAGCAGCAGCAGCAGCAGCAGCAGGAGAACATCGAGGCCCGTCAGCTGAGAAAGGCCTCACTCCAGATAAAACATTCATGCGAGTTCCCTCGAAGCGGCCCCCTTGCGCTCCAGCTGTGCGCTGATGGCCGCCCTGGAGCTTTAGCTGCTGATGCTGCAGGCGTTTTTGCTGCAGCTGCTGTTGCTGCTGCTGCTGCTGCAGCTGCTGCTGAAGTGTCTCAAACGCGTTTGTGATAACCAGAGACTCTTGCAAAGGAGGAGGAGGGCTTCTCCGGCTCCCTCGCTGCCTAGGGAGCCCCCCACCTACATTTTGCTTTTGCATCCGAAGGGTAAAATGGTGACTTGGGTCCTCTGTTTCACTTGTCTCTTTTGATGCTTCTGTTTCCTCTTCTTTGGGCCTTAAAGTGGAACCGCCTTCCGCAGCACTGCTGGAGCTGTCCCGCTGCAGCAGCTGTTCTTGCTGCTCTCGTTGCTGTTGCTGCTGTTGCTGCTGGTTCAGCTGTTGTAGCTGTTGCTGCTGTTGTTGTTGTTGTTGCTGCTGCAGCTGCTGCTGCTGTTGCTTTTGCTGCCGTAGTGCAGCAGCAGCAGCAGCAACCACAAAGCTGCTGGAGCGCTGTTCCAGCCGCTTGTAAAGGAGACTCCGCTGACGCTCGAGGCCCCTGCTAACCTCTTCCGGGACAGCAAGCGCAATGCTGCAGCACGCGCTGCTGCTGTTGCTGCTGCTATTGCTGCATGCGTTGCTGCTGCTGTTGCTGCAGCTGAATGCTGTGGTGGAGGCCAAAGATGCAGGAGGGGCCCACCCAAGAGTCTCCTTGCAGCAAGCAGTATGGGGCCCCGCTAGCTGGAGCTGGGGGGCCCTCCACAAAGAAGAGGGGGGCCCCCACGGAATTCCATCAGCGTACCACTTAGGGGGCCCCCTTTCCTCGAAATGCGCAGCAGTTGCCAGCCGCTGCCACTGCTGCTTTATGTATTGCTGCGGCTGCATCCTGTGCTGTACACTGCTGGCTCGGAGCCTGCTGCGCATCATCTGCTGCTGCTGCTGCATCTGCTGCTGCTGCAGCAGCAGGCGCTGCTGCTCCTGCTGCAGCCTCTGCCTGAAATAGGTAATGCTGCTGCTGCCTTGAGGAGACAGCTGCGCCTGGCTGTGGGTCCTTCGAAGCCCTTCGCGGGGGGCCCCCTCGGGGGCCCCCAGCCTTCCGGGGGCACCCCATCCAGGGAAGCCCTCCAGAGCAGATTCCACAGGAGAAGAAGCTCTACTTGTCTCTTTAAGTGCCCCAAATTGCTTTTCATGGAGCTGCTGAATTAGGGTCTTGTTGCTTTCGAGTTCTGTTAAGTCTACAATTTGAGGGGGCCTGGAGTCTGCCAGCAAGGGCCCCTCCAAAGGAACTTCTTCCGGGGCCTCTGCGGGGTCAGGGGGGCCCCCCACCTGGGGGCCCGAAAGGTACAGATGAGCAGCAGCTGCCTCTTGGGGGCCCCCAGAACCGCTGGGCACAGAACTCCGGGGCCCCCTGTCTTCCCGCTGTACCCTGGGGGCCCTGAGGGCCCCCGTGCAGCGCAGCAGCTGCTGCTGAAAGCTCCGTCTGCGCGTGCCAGTGCCCTCAGAGTCAGGCAGAGGGGCCCCCAACCCTGCTGAAGGGCTTTTGGGGGGCCCCCGGGCCCCCAGCCGCTGCTGCGCCTCCAGAAGAGCAGCAGCAAATGCTTCCCGGCCCTGCAGCCCCGCCCCACAGGGCTTGGGGAGCCTGGAGCCTGGAGGCTCTCCACAGCAAGTCACCCTGGGGCCCCCCCTGGGGCTTGAAGACCCTTCCTGTGCCCAACAGGAGCCCCTGGGGCTCCCCTCTTGGGGGCCCCTGGGGGCCCCCTCTTGGGAGCCCCTGGGGGCCCCAGCCTCTGCTCTTTCAGGGGCCTCACAGGGTCTTTGCTCCTCTTCGGTAAATGGGCGCTGCGCCCTCAGAGACCCGGGGCCCCCCTGAGCTCCGGAGGGGCCCTCAAAGCTGCTGTGGGAAATGTCTGGCTCAAGGGGCCCCGGGGTACCCTTTGAGCCTGGCTCCTGGGGCCCCGGGGGCCCCTGGGGAGGGCCCAAGGGCGGGAGAATTTCTTGAGAAGCCCGGGGCAGGACCCTGGCCCGCAGCCTGGCCCCAGAGGTGGGGGGCCCTCTTACAGACTCAGCGAGGGGGGCCCCCCTATAAGGCTCCCCCCTCTCTGCTGCCTTCAGAGCAGCAGAAGCTGAGGTCAGGGGCCCCCGGCAGCGGGCCTGGAGGCGGTAAAGAGAGAGAAGGGGCCCCCCCGCTTGCTGCTGCTTCGGGGGCCTTTCCCCTGAAGTCCGTAGGCGCTGCAGCGTCGCCCTCAACTCCTGCAGCAGTTTGCTGCTCCGGGGAGGCCCGGGGAGCCCCCAAAGGTCAGGGGGCCTCCAGAGGTCAGGGGGCCCTCGGAGGCCCCTGGGGGCCTCGGGGGCCCTCGGGGGCCCCCAGGCTGCTGAGGAAACAGGAGACGGCGAAAATGAAACTGGAGAGGGTACTGTGCTGTTGGGGGCTGAGGAATCTGAGAATTGAGCACCGTCGGCCGCCACAGAGCCTCTGCTGCTGCTGCTGGAGCGGCCGCTGCTGCACTTGTCGCTGGGGCTGCTGCTGCTGCTGCTGCTGCTCCTCAAATCTAGCGGCGACTGGCCGCCAAAGGCCGCCTCCTCAGCCTCCTCTTCCAGCAGCTGCAGCAGCTTGGAGCTGGGGGGCCTCGGGGGCCCCCCTGCCGCTGTGTGGTCCCTAGAAAGAGAAAAGAGGGGAGACCCAATCTGCAGCAAAGGGCCCTTGTAGGGGGCCCCTGCAGCAGCAGCAGGCGCAGCAGAGACTGTTGCTGTCTCTGCTGCTGCTGCTGGGGCCTTGCTGCTCATGAGCGCGCAGTGATGGGGCCTCGAGGTGACCCTGCTGCGGCTGGCCCTTGCTGCGGCAGCTGCTGCTGCCACTGTTTACAGAAGACGCAAAATGCAGCAGCAGACTCAAAAGTGGCTCCTAGATCTACTCAAAGATGAAGCTTTCACCCGAGAAACACCGCATTGTAGCGCTCCTGCTGCCGTTGCAGCAGCTGCTGCTGCTGCTGCAGAGACACCGGCGACGGTGTGAGGAGACACCGCAGCAGCTCTGGCCTCTCACGCCTATCTTTTATCTTTCATACTTCGAAAGCCGATTCAATCCTAAACGATTTGCTGCAGAAGGCCTTCATACACCTCAGATGTAGCGCAGCACGAGCTGTGGACCGCTGCTGCCGCTGCTGCTGCTGCTGCAGCTGCTGCCGCCAGTCAACAATAAATCAACCTGTTCAGGGGCCTCTACTTCTGCCTTCCTTGAAACAAACTTAAAAAATAATGTTGAAGTGTGCAGGCAGCAAGATCTCTTACTACCACTGGCGCTGCAGTCCCAAGGTCGGCCAAGGCCCGCTGCTGCTGCAGTTGCTGTTGCTGCTGCTGCTGTTGCTGCTGCTGCTGAGAGGAGTCATGTCTCGCAGCTCAGGGTTTTCTCCTGGCCATCTTCTTGGTATTTTTTGCTTCTTTTTGGGTCCCTCATCCTAAAAAGGATTAAAATTTTGATCCTAAGCGCCAAACTGCAAACACTGAACTCGGAAAACTTCTGGAAGCTTCTCGAAGAGGCCTCGAAAGTTTGAGTGAGCAGCTCACTTGCTTGTGTCTCAGTCACAAATCAAAATAGGCATATCTATTTCTTCTTTTCCGTGCTGCTGCTGCCGCTGCCTCTGCTGCTGTGCCCCCTCCCGATCCCCCAGCGGCTCCCCGCCCTGGCTAGCTGCAGCTAGCCACCATTGAGGCCATCTGTTCAGCAGTGGCTAGCTGCGGGTGGCTGTGGCTAGCTGGTGGGATACACGCGGAGAGGCTCAAACGGGCAAGAATCAAGCAGCAGGAGCAGCAAGCTCGCGCTGCTTCTGTGTGCCTGTTTACACCATCGTGGGAGCAGAGAGGGCACAGCCCAACAATGCAGCAGCAGCAGAAGCAGCAGCAGTAGCAGCAGCGGAGGAAGCAGTAGAGTAGGGGCAGCAGAAACACCAGCAGCGGCGGAAGAAGCAGTTGTAGGAGCAGCAGAAACAGCAACAGAAATAGTACTGCCGCAGCAGCAGCAGAAACAGTACACGTAGCAGCTGAAGCAGCAGCAGCAGGAAGAGCAGCAGTAGCAGCAGAAGCAACGGCAGCAATAGTAGCAGCATAAGCAGCAACTGCTGCAACAGCTGCAACGCCTGTCCCATACATTCCGCAGGAGAGGCCAAAGAGGCCTTTCTGCTGCTGCCTGTTCGCTGTGTCCTTTTTCCTCTCATGTCTCAGTTTCTGTCTCTGTCTTGACAAAATCAAATTAAACAAATGTCGCAGCTAGATACAGCTAGCTACAGCTAGCTGCAGAGATCTGCACTTTAGTGCAGCTAGCTGCGGCTAGGTAGCCCGCAGCAAGATCAACTAGGGCTAGCCGCTGCAACGCGCTGCAGCTCTCTGAGTAGCGGAGGACAGATAGAAGGGGGGCTCCCATATTCTGGTGAGCAGCAATCTGCTGGGAGCCCCCCTGGTGCTGCGTGCTGCTGCTGCTGCTGCTGCTGCTGCTGCTGGGCGAGGCGCAGCAGACACGTAGAGAGGCTGCTGAGACTTTCTCTCAAGGCCAGAACGAGCTGCACAAGCGACACAGCGGCAGAAGCAGCAGCAATGTCACAGCAACAGAGCAGCAGCGCAGCAGCAGTGCAGCAGCAGCGCTGCAGCACTGCAGCAGCAGCGCAGCAGCAGTGCAGCAGCAGTGCAGCAGCAGTGCAGCAGCAAGCAGTCTTGCAGTGAGAAGACAGCAAAGCGTCAGCAAAGTAGAAAGACAGGGAACTAATAAATCAGGAGAAAGCGATGGGGCAGAGAAGGAGATTTGTTTGAAGAAAAAAGAAAAACAAAGTCTAAAATACAATTTGGAATTAATGTCAGCAACAGACAGCAGCAAGAGACCAGTGGTCACCCGACGTACAGTTCTTAGGGCCTCCCGCTTGGCCATGGCGTCTGCTGCAGGTAACAGGGGCGCCCTTCTGCTGCTGCTGCTGCTGCTGCTGCTGCTGCAGATGCCTAAGAACCATCTGCGCAATTCCACAGGAACAAACTGAGGGCCCCAAGACCCTGCCTCCGACTCCGCTTCAGGCTGCTGCTGCTGCTGCTGCTGCTGCTGCTGCAATGAAGCAGCAACCCTCTGAAGAACTTTGTCGCATAGCACAACAAAGGCGGAGACTCGTGACAGCGCAGAAGCTCCGCTGCTTCCGTTACTGGTGCTGCAGCTGCTGCGGGTGGTGCTGCTGTCGGCAGTTGCTGCTGCTAGCTCTTGTGGAGCAGCAGCAGCAAACGCGGCAACTGTGCATGCAGCAGAGATCAGGCCTCTTGCACTGCTGCTGCGAGGCTTTCTAGAAAAGCCCTGTGGCTCTGAGACAGAAGGGAGGCAGCAGCAGCAAGCACATAAGGGCCCCTCCATTAAAAGGGCTTTGCCCTGAAGAGAGGCTGCAGCAGCTCTGGCTGCTGCTGCCTCTGCTGCTGCTGCCTCGCTGCTGCTGCTGCTGCGGCCTTGCGAAGCAACCAGCAAAGGGGCCCCTGGGGCCCCCAAGTGGCAAAAAAGAAACTCCAAAGCAACAGCAAATGATGCAGGAGGCGAGCAAAAGAGAGAGCAGCTCTCCCCCTCCAGGGCCCCACAGCTTGCTGCGCATTTAGCTGCTGCGGGGGGCCCCTTTGGGGGGCCCCCAAGGGGGGCCCCTGGAGAAGCTTCGGGAATAAGTAAAAGGGGAGGCAGCATCTCGCGAGCAGCGCAGCAAAAGAAAGACAGCGAGGCTGAGACTCGGGCCCCGTCTCTTGCTGCTGCTGCAACAGATTCGTGCCAGCTCATCGTCTCCTCAGGCCCTTTTCTTCGTGTTGCTGCTGCTGCTGCTGCAGTCGTCACTGCTGCTTCTGCTGATGCTGCGGTCGCTGCTGCCGCTGCTGCAGTCGTTGCAGGTGCTGCTGCTGCGGTTGTTGCTGCTGCTGCTGCAGCAGCAGCGGGACCCACAGGGGAACACGTCTGGAGGCAAAGTGGCAGCACAAAACTTGCAAGGGCCCCCCCAGCCTCTGAAAGGCCTGGGGGCCCCCCAGAAATCCCCAAAGATTGCATTAGGCTTTGTCTTCTTTGGGGGTCTCCCAACAAATAAGTTGTTGTTTCTTGAAGCAGCAACTCCAAGCACAACGGGCCCTTGAAGCTCAGCCACTTCTGCTGCTGCTGCTGCTGCTGCTGTTGCTGCTGTTGCTGCTGCTGCTGCTGCGCTGCAGTTGGGCCTTGAAGCAAGCAGAATGGCTTTGTTCCCTCTAGCAAAAGGCTTGCCAGGACCCGGCAGGCGAGCGCAGCTCCCGTAGGGGGGGCCCCCCTTTCCTTAGCTATGGGCCCTTTTGGGGGAAGCAGGGGCCCCCGTGGGGGCCCCTGCTGCAAAGGGGGCCCCCCAATGGGCCCCTGCCCCCTCAGCTTCAGGAGGCTGCTGAGAAGGGGGGCAGCAAAGTGCGAGGCCCCCAAGAGGCGAGAATCAGCAGAGGCCCCCGGAGGCACCCACTCCGCTGCTGCAGCTGCTGCAGCTGCTGCAGCAGCTGCTGCTGCTGCAGAGCCAGGCATCAGCCGCAGGGGGGCCCCTGGCTCAGGGGCCCCCCATGCTAGGGGCGCTGAGCAGCTGAGAGCAGCATAAGGGGAAGTTTCCAAAGTTTGTTTTGCTTCTGCTGCTGCGGTAGCTGCTGCTGCAGCAGATGCCGGGTTGTAGGAAGCAGGGTACGCCTCCAGGGAGATGGGGAAATCTCGGGGAGCTTCAGCGCTGCTGCTGCTGCTGCAGCTGCTGCTGCTGCTGCTGCTCACGGTGTAGAGACGGCCAAATCCAAAGGGGAAGAGACAGCACCGAATGGCGTGGGGGACCAGCCGCACCAACGCCTCTGTAGGAGCTGCTGTTGGCAATGCAGCTGCTGCTGCTGCGTCTGCGTCTGCTGCTGCTGCTGCTGCAGCAGACACGCAGCAGGCAGCCGCCTCCCTGCAGCAGGGAGGCAGGCGCATGACGATCGGCTGGGACTTCTGGGAAGGGACAAAAGGACAAAAATAAATGACTTCCAACAAGGAGGAGACCGAGGCCATGACGAGGGAGCTGCAGATACACCCCAAGAGAGCAGCAGGCAGCTGCTGCGGGGCTGGCGGGCAGCAGAAGTGTACATACACCCCAGCGCACATGCCTTTAAACTGACACAAATAAGGCAATCAGCAGCAGCTGGCAGCAGCAACACCGCAGGATCTGCAGCAGGGACTCGGAAGCACAAGCCAGGGGGAGCAGCAGCAGCAAAAAGAGACAAAAGAAAAACCAAGAAGAAAATCAAACCCAAAATAAAAGTAATTAATAACATACTTTCGTGTGGGAGAAGACAGCGCTGCTCGCCCGGCATATAGAAACAAGCGGCACCAGGCGGCAGCTTCTGCTGCAGCTCGCTGCTGCCTCCCAGCAGCAGCAGCAGCAGCACAACTCGCATTTGCTGCTGTTGCTGTTGCTGTGGAAGATGGGACAGCAGCACTTTCGCCCTCTGCTGCAGCGGCTGAGGCAGCAGCAGCTAAACACCCCGCCGCAACAAGGGACAGTCCCCGCGTCCAGAGCTGCAGCTTTGGGGGGTTTGCAACAACAGCAGCAGCAGCAGCAGCAGCAGCAGCGGAGAGTGGGCCTGCCCAGGCAGACGGAGGCAGTTGCTGCTGCGCCTTAACAGCCTCAGCAAGCACTCTGCTGTGCAGCGAAAGAGCAGCAGCAGGCAACTGCAGCTGCAGCGCCTGCGCATCGTAGCCCAGAAGCAGCAGCAGCAGCGGGGAAAGCAGGGCAGGTGCTTGCAGCACGTACATCGCAGCGCCATGCTGCTGCTGCTGCTGCTGCTGCTGCTGCTCTGTCTCGTCACTGGCGCAGACGCTATCTGCATCTGCCGTCAAGTCCACTGGCTCAGTCAAAGGAGAAAGGTTGGGGCAGCCAGAAGTTGCCTCGTCTGCTGCAGCAGCAGCAGCAGCAGCAGCAGCAGCACCGTTCGGTTCCTTCGCCTTCACTTCATCTTCGCTGCCATCGTCGCTGATCTCAACAATCAGAGGCTCTTGCTGGTTCGAAAGCTGTGGCGAAACCTCGCTGCTGCTGCTGCTGTTGCTGCTGCTGCTGCTGCTGCCGCTGCTAGAAAGACTGTGTTCAGACAGTGAAATGTGATCAACAGAATCTGCAACGGCCGCAGCAACGGTAGCCTCCGCGGGGGCCGCTATGGTGCTTGTTTTTGCTGCTGCTGCCGCTGCTGCTGCCGCTGCTGCTGCTGCTGCTGCTGCTGCTTCTGCTGAATCATGCTCGTCGCTGCTTTCTCCGCGGTTCCCGCGCAACAGCAGCTGGTTGATGGTGCTGCTGCTGCACTTCAGTGCCAGCTGCTGCTGCTGCAGTAACGTTTCGAAAGTCTGCTGCCACAGGGCCTCAAGCTCTTCAGCATACGCGGCGAGGGTATCTGCTGGGGCCCCGAACTCGTCTGCTGCTGCCGCTGTTTGCTGCTGCTGCTGCTGCTGCTGCTGTCGCTGTAAAATCCGTTGCTGCTTCTTTTTGCTCATCTGTCGCAGAGCGTGGAGAGGCACAGAGGTGTCCCCTGGGGTCCGCTGGTGTGTTGCTGCTGCTGCAGCAGCAAGCGAGGCTTGCAGCCGCTGCAGACAACTCAGGATAGCCAAGGAAGGTTTGCTGCTGGCGCCGCCTTGCTGCTTCTGCTGCTGCTGATGCTTCTGGAGGCCGCACGCCGGTGTCTTGGCCCGCTCTCCCTGCTGCTGCAGCTGGGGAGATCCCTTGCGAATCACCGTCTGCTGCATTGTGTCTTGAAGTTCCTGCTGCTGCTCATGCTGCTGTTGCTGCAGCAGCAGCGCAGCATTTTTCACAAAGGAGGAGCGCTGCAGTCTCCCGAGTCCCCTTTGCAGTGCTGCTGCAGACAAGTGAAGCAGCAGCCGGCCGGTGCCGCTGCTGCAGCAGCAGCACGCGTAGCTGTGGGGCCCCGTGAGCAGCCACTGCAGCAAAGACACCTGATGAGTAAGAAGGCACGAGGCCCTAGGGCTGGGGGCCCCTGAGGGGCCCCCCTGGGGAGACGGAGCTTTTAAGGCTAAGGCAAGAAAAAGGATTTGCTGCAGTAAATGACGGAGCTGCCGGGGACAGGAAAAGTGCTGCAGCTGCCCCTGGGGGGCCCCTGGGGGCCCCCTAGGGTCATCTGCTGCTGCTGAGGGCCTCGGGGCTTCGACTGCAAACAGCACGAAAGACTTCTTGGATCCCACGTGCAGAGGCACGTATCCCTCTTGCTGCTGCTGCTGCTGCTGCTGCTGCTGCTGCTGCTGCTGGCGAGTCGTCACTGCTAGGAGGTGCTCCTGGTAGTTCGCCGCGGCCTTGGCCACATAAATAGCAGCAGCAGCAGCAGCTGACAGCAGCGCAGCGCGCAGCGGGGGCCCCAGCACTCTCAAGGCCCCCACTGCGGGGTCTCCCGCCCTGTGGGGCCCTGGCGGGGGGGCCCCCGGGGGCCCCCCTGGGGGGCCCCCAGGGGGGCCCCCAGGGGCCTCCTGGCTGTCTTGGCGTGCTGCAGCTGCCTTGTCAAGAGCCCCCAAAGCCTTGGGGCCCACAAGGTCCCCCAAGGGAACCGCTAGAAAGCGGCACAACAGAGACACAAGACATGCTGCTGCTTCTGCTGCTGCTTGCTGCACCGAGGGGGGCCCCTCGTAGTCCAGCAGGTCCAGCAGAGAAGGCAAAACGTGCGACACAAACGACTCCAGCAGCTGCAGCGCAGCAGCAGCAGCAGCAAAAGCACCACAAGCAGCAGCAATGGCATGCCGCAAAGAAACTCTCCAGGAAATGTAATGCTGCACTGAACCGTTGGCAAGGCCAAGCGCTAAACCCTAAACCCTAAACCCTAAACCCTAGCTCTTGAGCACTACACCCCTGGGCTTTGGAACTCTGTCGGGTTCTGTTCGGACTTACAGGAGGCTGCTGCAGCTGGGACTGCTGCTGCTGCTGCTGCTGCTGCTGCCTCTTCCACTCATTTGCTGCTGCCAGCTGCATTACAAGGGGCTCCAAGAGGGGCCCCACCTTTGCTGCATCCCCAGCGGGTTTCTCAGATTCTCCCCAGCCGTCAGTGTCCCCAAACAGCAGCAAATGGAGAATGCAGCAGCACTGCTGCAGCTGCTGCAGCTGCTGCACTGTGTTCTCGTTTTGCTGCTGCTGCTGCAGGTCGCTGCCCTCTCTCTTGGAGTTCAGGATGGACACACTCCGGTTGCCGCTGCCGTCCTGCAGCAGCAGCAGCAGCAGCCCTAGAGCTCCAATAACAGTAGCAGCAACGGAGTAGCAGCAGCAGCACCACAGCTGCAGCAGCAGCTCAGCAGCAGCATAGCAGCAGCACGGCAGCAGAGGCGGCTCACAGTGAGGTCGTGGATTTGCTGCAGCCAGAAGTTGCAGCAGCAGCTAAAAAGCTGCATCAGCAGCGCGATGTGGTTCTCCCCGTCTGCAGCAGCAGCAGCAGCAGCAGCATCGGGGGATAACCCCTCTAGCTGCAGCATGCTGCTGAGCTGCAAGGCTTGCTGCTGCGCACTAGACAAGCCTGAGACTTCTCCAGTACCCAGAGGGGCCCCCGGGGGGGCCCCTAGGGCCCTTTCCCTCCTTAGCCACGGGGGAAGCAGCCGCAGCAGCAGCGGGAGAGCCAGTGCCATTTGGGGCCCCCGAGCAGCAGCAGCAACAACCACGCGGAGTGTGTGGATGGCTAGCTGCAGCAACAGCAGCAGCAGCAAAGCGGCGCCGCAAGAGCTACAGCAGCAACAGCGACAACAGCGCCGGGAGCAACGAGAGAAGCAGCAGCATGACAAAAGACATTAACAGCAGCAGCAGCAGCAGCAGCAGCAACGCGAGAAGCAGCGCGGCAGGGCCACGATCAGAAGCAGCAGCAGCAACAGCGACAGCAGCAACAGCATTAGCAACGCGAGCAGCAGCGTGGCAGGGACACGAAAAGAAACAGCAGCAGCAGCAGCAGCATTAGCAACGCGAGCAGCAGCGCAGCAGGGACACGAACAGCAGCAGCAGCAGCAGCAACAGCAGCAGCAGCAACAGCAGCAGCAGCTTACATCAGGCAAAGACAGGGTGAGGCGGGGCAGCCGCAAGAGAAAGACCGACACGAGGCGAAGGCCGTCAGAGCGCGTGCGGCTGTCAACTGCTGCTAAGCAGCTGCAACAGGAAAAAGAAAAATTTGTTTTTATTTTTAATTTAAAAAAATAAATTTAAAATTAAAAATAAATCCTTCAAAGTCAAACGGGGAGGCGAAGCCAGACACACAGACATCAAATAGTGGCTGCAGCTCGGCGGCAGCTCTCGGTGAAGCCCTGCTAGGCTGCAGCAGCAGCAGCAGCAACAACAGCAGCAGCAGCAGCAGCAACAGCAGCAGCAGCAGCAACAGTAGCAGCAGCAGCGGGAAAAGAAACGGCAGCAAGAAACAGCAGCAGCAACAACAGATAAGTTTACTTAAGAAATGTGGCAGCAATGAGCTTCCGGAAAGGCAGCAAGGCCGTCGTAGCTCTGGCTTCTGGTGTCTGCTCCTCCCCTTCGCTGCTGCTGCTGCTGCTGCTGCTGCTGCTGCTGCTGCTGCCTACGGCTTGTATTATGGCACAGCAGCAAAGCAAAAGCTGCTGCCGGCATTCCGGATCTTCATCTGCTGCTGCTCCCAGCAACACAGGCAGCGCCTGTGACAGCAGAGGACCCATCTGGAGCCCCTTAGAAGTCCCAGCATCCTGCTGCTGCTGCTGTTGCTGCTGTTGCTGCTGCTGCTGTTGCTGCTGCTGCTGTTGCTGCTGTTGCTGCTGCTGCTGCTGCCGAAGCGCTGCAAAGCAAGCAGTAGCTCTCTTCAGGCCCTGCAGCCGCTGCAGAGGAGATGAAAGAGTCAGCTGAAAGCAACACCCACCAGGCCCCTCTAAGCCCCAAGCCCTAAACCCTAGACCCTAACTCTAAACCCTAAACCCTAAACCCTAAACCCTAATTCTTTTGCTTGCCGCAGGGCCTTGTTCCCTCGCCTGCAGCTCATGGCAAGTTGCTACTTAGAAAGGCACTGGAAGGCCCCAACTAATTGAGGGGAAACTCAAGGGGACCCCTGGGGGCCCCCAGGGGGCCCTTGGGGGCCCCCTAGGGCCCCCCAGGGGGCCCCTAAGGGGGCCCCCCGGGGGGCCCCCTATGAAGTCCTAAAGGGGCCCCTGTTGGTTATTACCTTCTGCAGCGCCTCTTCAACAGCAGTGGGGGTGCAGAGATGACTAAGGGGGGCCCCTGCTGCAGCTGCTGCTGCTTCCTCCTCCCACTGCTGCAGCTGCTGCTCCGCCCTTGCTGCTGCTGCTGCCAGCAAATGCTTCTTCACCTTCACCTCCACTTGAGTGTGGGAGGGGGGGGGCCTCTTGGGGGCCCCCACTTTTTGCTTCTTAGTGGGGCCGAAGTCGGAGGCCTGCTGGGGCCTCTTGGTGCGGTACTTGCTGCGGTCTTTCGCCATCTCTGCTGCTGCTGCTGCTGCTGCTGCTGCAGGGTGCGCTGCTGCAGCAGCAGGTGCTGCTGCTGTTGCGCAAGTTGCTGCTGCTGCTCTCGCTCTTGCTGCTGCTGCTGCAGGGTACGCCGCTACAACTGCAGCTGCTGCTGCACCCAACGCAGCAGCAGCTGCTGCTGCTGCAGCAGAGGCTCTGGCACAGCTAACTCACAGCAGCAGCCCACTAAGAAGGGGGGCCCCCTTGCGTAAGGGGCCCCTGCTGCTGCAGCTCGCTGCAGCAGCAGGGGGGCCCCCCGCCCCAAAGAATCGTCGGCCCGCTGGGGGGCCCCTTGCTGCTGCTAATCTGCTGCAGCAAAGCAGCAGCAAATCAATTAAGAAGAAAAGAAACAGAATAGCGCATGCAAGCCAGCAGCAGGGGCCCCTGAGCTGCTGCAGGGGGCCCCCAAAAGGCCTTCTGCGAGGCCCTGGGTACTGAGCAGCAGCAAACAGCGCAGCTGCTGCTGGCCCTGAAATATCAAACTCAGATTTTATTTTAAATTAATTTATTTCTTTTACTTCTTTGTGAAAAACAATGAAACCCAAAGACCCTCTTGCTGCCCTGTGGGGCCCCACGTGGGCCCCACACCCTGGGGCCCTACAGAGTGGGGGCCCCCCAGGCCTGGGGCCCCCAGGGGCCCCAGGGGCCCCGGGGGCCCCCATATCTTTGGGGCCCTTTAAGGGCCCCACAGGGCTACTTTTGTGCAATTGCAGCTTCAGTCTTCTCCATCAAAGGCTCAGGGGCCCCCAGTTTGCTCTAGGGGCCCTGGAGGCCCCAACGGGGGCCCCGGTGGTTCAGGGGCCCCATAAGGGGCTTCGGGGGCCCCAGAGGGGCCCCCGGGGCCCCAGCGCTGCCCCCATACTGGGGCAGAAGGCATAGGAGGGCCCCAAGGCCCGGGGGGCCCCCGAAGGCCCCTGGGGCCCCCGGGCTCTGCAGGGCTTGGGGGGCCCCCAGGGGCCCCACAGCCCTTGCAGCTTTGCCTGCAGCATTTTGGTCTTTTGCTGCTGCTCTGTTCCTTGCTGCTGCCTCCCCAAGGAGACTCCGAGGGATTTGCTGCTGCTGTCTCTGCAGCAGCTTGTGTCTGCTTTCGTTTTTCAGTTCATTAAAAACCCCCTTTGCTGCTGCTGCTGCTGCTGCTGCTGCTGCTGCTGCTGCTGCTGCTGCCCAGTGGGCCTGTCCCGGGGGCCCCGAAGGGGCCCCCCGGCCGCCTCTGGCGCTGCCTCTTTTGCTGCTGGGTCTTTTGGGGGCCCCTGTGACTCTTTTGCTGCTTTTCTGTTTTACTTTGCTTCCTTTTTGTCTCCTCTTGTTTATTTTGTGTTTTATTTTTGTTTTTTATCTCTTTTTAATTTCTTTTTCGTTTATTTTTATTTATTTTTATTTCTTTTTTGCTTTCTTTTGCTGCCCGCCTTACCTACGCGCCCAGAGCTGTCTGTACACCTGAACTCAGCCCCATTACTCATTTCCATTTCTTTAAATAAATTAAAATAATTACTTTTAACTTTTCTGCAGATTAAAAGCCTAGCAAACAAACCTAAAGAACCAGGGGCCCCTGGGGGCCCCCTGGGGGCCCCCTGGTGGGCTGGGGGCCCCCGGAGTGGGGGCCCTAGCCACGGGGCCCCCCTGTGGGGGCCCTCCTCAGGGGCCCCTAGCCTGGGGGCCCCCAAATAGCTGACTAAAAGGGGGCCCCCAAGGGGCCCCCTGGGGGGTTGCTACTTCAGGGGCCCCTCGGGGGGCCCCCCTGCATTGAAGGAACTCAGCCATTGGGTTTCATTTGGGGCCCCCACTTTGCTTCTGGGGCCCCACTGGGGGGCCCCCTAAAGGGGCCCTTGCTTTGGGGCCCCTCTTTAGGGGCCCCATCAGGGGGCCCCTGTTTGGGGCCTGGGACACGGCGCAGCGGGCGCTGCTGCAGCCGCGCTGCTGCTGCTGCTGCTGCAGCAGCAGCTGCTGCTGCTGCAGCTGCTGCTGCTGCTGCAGCTGCTGCTGCTGCTGCTATTCACTGTCAGATGATGCTGCTGCCTGCTGCTTGGCCTCCGAGTCCCTCAAAAGAAAGCCCCAGTCGCTGCTTTCTATTTCTGCTGCTGAAGGGGAAAGAGCCAAAAGGGCCCTGAGGGCCCCCCGCCGCTGCTGCAGCAAACGGCTGCGGCGCTGCTGCAGGCGCTCGCGGCGCTGCAGCAGCAGCAGCAGCAGCAGCAGCAGCAGCAGCAGACACAAAAGAGACATGTGAGACAAAGGAGACAAAAAAGGAGAGAAGGGGGAAGATAGCATAGAGGAAGTGGAAACAACTAAAACAGAAAAAGACAAAAAGGAAATAAAGAATCTCGAAATTGATTTAAAAGGATAAAAAAACAAAAAGAATAAATGAAGATAAATAAAAACAACAAAAAGAAGACAAAAGAAGCTGCTAGGGAGGGAGAAGCAATGGGGAAGCTAACACAGCCCAAGAGCAACAGCGGCAGCAGCGGCAGCAGCAGCAACAGCAGCAGCAGCAGCAACAGCAGCAGCAGCAGCAGCAGGAAAAGAGACAGCAACAATGGAACACACCTGAAAAAGAAAAGAACAAATCTGTTCGGAGTCAACAGCAACAAAAGTCTCCCCAAATAAATACCAGTCCTCCGTCAGCGCGCAAGTCTCTGCCATCCTGCTGCTGCTGCTGCTGCTGCAGCTGCTGCTGCTGCTGCTGCTGCTGCTGGGGAGCGCACGGCCGGCTTCGCCCCTTCTGTAGGCCCCCAGGGCCTCCCGCAGCTTCTCCAGCTGCTCCCCGACAGCAATCAACAGCTGCAGCGAACACAAACCCTAAACCCTAAACCCTAAACCCTAGCACCGAGAAGATCCATGAAATGTAAACCTCAAACCCTAAACCCTAGACTGCAGAGGAAATGCTGAACACGAAACTGCCCGCCCAGTCTGCTCTCAACTCTGCTAGCGGGGCAGCAGGCCACAAACCCTAAACCCTAGCCCTTGCGTTAAACCCTAAACCCTAAACCCTAACCCTAACCCTAAAGCCTAGCTAAACCCCACCTTGTTTAGAAATAAAACCTTTTCTGCAGCAATGTTTAGCTGCAGAAGACGCTGGGCGTGGGGCGACGCGCAGCTGGTGAGATCCCCCGGCAAGAAAGAAGCCATTGTAAAGCCGGGCTGCAGCTAGGGTTTAGGGTTTAGGGTTTAGGGTTTAGGGCTTGGGGAATGTCCCTTGAAAGTTGAAGGCAGCAGATATCAAGAGAAGATGAAAAAGAGAAGAGCAAAAGAGCGCTACCGCCGAGCGCCCAGCCCCTGCGTACATTTAGGGTTTAGGGTTTAGGGTTTAGGGTTTAGGGTTTACAGTCTAGATCTGTGTCTCGATGCCAAAAATGAACATTTTTTCCATTTCTGAGCAATATCGCAAACACTACCAGCAGTACATACACTCCGGAGCCCTTGGGGGGCCCCTGCTGGGGGCCCCACTGAGGCCTTCACGGGGGCCCCCAGGGGCCCCCCGAGTGACCCTCTATGCTTGTTGCAATATGGGAGGAAAAATCTAAATAAACCATTTTATGCAAAAATATGCTGTTTTTCATTGACGCCAGAAACCCTAGACCTTAAACCCTAAACCCTAAAGCGGCAGCGTAAACCCTTGGCTGCGTCCTCTGCAGCGGCAAGCAGCTACGGTTGCATGTGTGGAAGCTTCTGCCACCTGGATCTTTGTTGGCTAGATTTAGGGTTTAGGGTTCAGGGTTTGGGGTTTAGGGTTTGGGGTTTTGGGGTTATGGCTCGAGCTGCACAGCAGGCCCTTTTGCTGTTGGGGGCGGTCAGCGTAAACCCTAAACCCTAAACCCTCATTTGCGCTCATCTGCTGTACAGCTGGGCCCTCAGCTAGCTGCAGCGCTAGCTAGCTGTGGAGCTAGCTAGCTGCCTCGCCTAACTGGGAACTGAGCCCCTTGCTAGCTACCTAGCTAGCTGGCTAGCTAGCTAGCTAGCTAGCTGGCTACCTAGCTAGTTGGCTAGATGGCTAGCTAACTAGCTAGCTAGCTATCTACCTAGGTAGCTGCCTAGCTGGCTAGCTAGCTAGCTAGCCAGCTAGCTGCTAGCTGAGAATAGCCGAACGCCTCATGCCCTTTGTGCATGCATTGGCTTGCGGCACTTTTGTTGCTGCAAACAGAAGCAGCAGAAACTGCTGCGGTGTTTTGAGGGTTTAGGGTTTGTCCTCAACAACTGGAAAAGGAGGGTTTAGGGTTTGGCTCAACAAATACGAGGCAAGGGTTTAGAGTTTGGCCTCGACAGCTGAAACCGAGGGTTTAGGGTTTAGCGCTTTCAGGGTTTAGGGTTTAGCCCAGCCGCTAAAGGTCCCCAGCTCTCTAGTTTGTGTAAATTGTAAAAGTAAAAAGAAATTTAAGTTTGGAAATGCTTTTTAATAGACAAATACATTTTATATTCATCAAAAGATAAATAAGTCTAAAGACATGCAGCAGCAGTGTCTGCTGCAGAAGCTGCTGCTGCAGCAGCTTCTCAAGCTTCAGCTGCTGCTGCAGCTAAAGAGGGGGCCAAAGACAAATGGAAAAGGGGAACTGACAGAATTGAAGCCAGTTCAACATACAGCAAAAGCAGCAGCAGCAGCAGCAGCAGCAGCAGCAGCAGCAGGTGCTGCTGCTCTGTGTCTTGCGGCACTGCCAAGAGATGCACACGCAGCAGCAACGTTGCTGCTGCAACATCTTGCAGGCTGACACAAAAGAGAGGACGTGCTGGTGCTGCCGCTGCAAGCGCTGTCGGCTGCTGCTGCCGCAGCAGCAGGAGCAGCAGCAGCTGCTGCTGCTGCAGGAGCAGCAGCAGCTGCTGCTGCTCGCGCGACCTTGATGACTATCGCTTCGAGTTCATGCTGCTCTTGCTGAACCAACTACTGACTGAGGCGCAAAGAAGAGACAAAAAGACAAAAAGCAAGGACAAACAAACAAATGAATAGGCAAACGAAACGCAGCAGCAGCAGCAGCAGCAGCAGCAGCAGCAGCAGATGTGTGGTGGCTTACGCAGTTGAGTCTTGTCTTTGAAATAAAGACAAGCTAAAAGGAAGATAACAAAGACAAGAGGCAGCGCATGGGAAAGGCCCCCTTCTTCTGCTGCTGCGGGGGCCACTTGCTGCAGCAGCAACGGAGGAAGGCCAGCGTCGCTATTTGCTGCTGCAGCAAGCGACAAGTGGTGGTGGCCCCCAGTCGAGATAGACAAGGGGGCGGACCCCACGAGCAGCAGCTGCAGCAAACAGCAGCAACAGCAGCAGCAGCAGCGGTGGCGGATCTTAAGAGGGAGTAGATAGCTGCAGTAGGAGGAGCAGAAACGTGCAGCACACAGCAAACCCTGCTGCTGCTGCTGCTGCTGCAGCAGGGGCAGAGGCATCGGCAGGTGTGGGGCCCCACAAGCAGCAGGAAGGGCGAACAGAGGAAAGAATGTATTAAAGACACAACAGAGAAAAGAGGAAAGAGATAAAAGAAAAGAAGAGCAGCAAAATAAGAAGCAGCAAAAGACAAAAATGCAAAAAGTGCTGCAGCACCTTGCTGCCCTGCAGCGGCCACAAAGAGCCTGGGGAAGTCCGCGACAGCAAAAGGGCCCCTCTGTAGCTGCCTGGAGTTAATCCTGAGAAGACGCCGAAGCCTGCTGGCAGCAGCCGCAGCAGCAGGGTGCCTGGGGGCAGCAGCAGGGGCTTCTCTGCTGCTGCTGCTGCTGCTGCTGCTTCTGCAGCTGCTGCTGCGTGGGCTTCGGCCCGGTGCGGCTCCACTGGCAGCAGCAGCAGCACTAAGGCTGCCTCTCCTGCAGCAACTGAAGACAAGTCCGTCTGCAGGCCAGCAGCAGACACGGACAAAGTTGCTGCTGGAGGCAGCAGCAGCAAGAAGTCCAGGCCTGAGGCAAACGCAAAAAGGCACGAAGCAGCAAAATGAAGAGCAGCCCTGGCTGCTGCAGCAAAAGAAAAAGCTGCAGCAAAATGGAGGGCAGCCGCGGGTGCTGCAGCAAAAGAGAAAGCAGCAGCAAAGTGAAGAGCAGCAAAAATGAAAGCAGCAGCAGCAGTGAGTGAAAAAAACTGGAGAAAAGATGCAGAAATAATGCGCTTCGCGATGAAACAAAAAGACATTTGAAATAAAGAAAAACAAGAACAAAAGGAAAACAAAAACGGATAAAAAGGGAAACAGAAATAAAAAGAAAAGACAGAAAACAGCGGCAAAGAAAGAGTGCAACAAAAGCTGTGCAGCAGCTGCAGCGGCGAGAAGCCACAGGAGCAAGCCGCGGCTTTCCCTCTTTAGCATCAAAAATGAAAGGGGATAAAAAATAAAATGAAAATAATAAAATAAATAAATAAAATTATAAATAAAATATATATATAAATAAATATTAGATCGGTTCTTTGGCTCCTTCGAAGGCTCAGCCATTTATTTGCATCGCTTGCAAGTTGCGCACATGAATGGAGAAAATAAAATGGCAGTGCAACAATGATACTAATAATAATAGTAATAATAATAATAATAATAATAATAATAATAATGATAGTAATAATTACAGTAATAATAATAGTAATAGCAAATAATAATAATAATAATAGTATAGTAATAGTAATAATAATAATAATAATAATAATAATAATAATAATAATAATAATAATAATAACAAATAACAATAATGATAATGACAAATAATAACAGCAAAAACAACAATAATAATAGCAATTGAGTAAATGACAAAATACAAAAGATCTGGGACCCAGGGCAAAGATAAGAGAGGAAAAAGGTGAACAGATGACAGAAGCAGCAACCAAAGGTAGAGAAGAAAAGGAAAACTTTTTGAGAAAAAAGAAAATAAAATCCCAAAAGAAAATAAATCCATTATCCACAACTAAAAGCAACTACTCATTAAAAGCAACGCCCGGCGGCGGCGAGCAGCAGCAACAGCAAAACAGGCCGCAGCAGCAGCGAAACAGCCCGCAGCAGCAGCAAAACAGACCGCAGCAGCAGCAAAACAGGCAGCAGCAGCTGCAGCAAAACAGGCCGCAGCAGCAGCAGCAAAAGAGGCCGCAGCAGCAGCAGCAAAAGAGGCCGCAGCAGCAGCAGCAAAACAGGCCGCAGCAGCAGCAGCAAACTAGCCTTCTTTGTCTTCTTTGCCCAGGACAATCTGCCTCTTGGGCGGCTGCACAGCAGCTGTCTGTACACCCCACGGGCCCTCCAACCCCACTTCATAGTCCGCCCCTCCCCGAAGTCCCCGCAGCGCAAAACGGCCCCACACGTCTACTCCACTCGTCTCCCGATCCCCACTGGAGCTTGCTGCCTGCACAGCAGCAGCAGCAGCAGCAGCAGCAGCAGCAGCAGCAGCAGCGGGCAGTGGAGAGGGTGCGGGCCCGCGTGAGGCTGCAGACGGCTCTTCGAGGAGAGACGCGAGCTAGTGGCTGGGCCTGTGTGTGGCGGCGTGGCTGCTGATGCTGCTGCAGCTGCTGCTGTCACTGCTGCTGCTGCTGCTGCTGCTGCTGCTGCTGCTGCTGCTGCTGCTGCTGCTCTTACGTAGACTGTGACGGCTTGGTGCGCGTCTTGCGCGCCCCCCACAATGCGGACAGTGCCTGTACAGTCGAATGCTGTCTTGGTGGCTTTCAGGTGTACGTACAGCTCCTGGCCCTCAGCCACTTCCAAGTCCATTTGGGGAGGCGAAAAGGCGTGGCTGCGGAGTGCAGCACGGAGTGTATAGACACCTGGAGGCAGCAGCGGGAAGGTGGCGTTCCCGCTGGCGCTGCTGCGGCGGCGCTGCCGCTGAACCGCGCTGCTGCTGCTGCTGCTGCTGCTGCTGCTGCTGCTTGTTGGCTCTTTCTCTGTCAGAGTCACCACGGCGCCCCCTAGTGGAGCGCCGGTCTCATTAAGAGAGACAGAGACCATCACAGTGGCCAGTCTGAACTCAAAGACACGCCGACAGTTCCAAACCCTAAACCCTAAACCCTAAACCCTAAACCCTAAACCCTCGACGCTTATCGTGTGGGTACGACTGAGCGATGCCGCCGCTGCAGCGCAGCACAAGTAGATGCAGATGCTCACTTCGTGGAAACCACGCGGAAATGTTCTTCGCCACCCTTTCCTGCTGCTGCTGCTGCTGCTGCTGTTGCTGCTGCTGCTGCTGCTGTGACTTCCTTG